TTTATTTTTATTTTTTGTTATTTCGTGCTTAAGTCGTTCTACTCTCGTTTTAAACCGTAACATTCCGAATGTTTGCAAGCCAAAGTGGTTAACCTTAAGGAAAAAAAAATGAATTTTATTTGCTTGTGACTCCGAAAAAGCATTACGTAACATTATCTCTAATAACCTTCAACTTATACGTTCGTGGTTTTGCAACGATATTATTCCGTACCATCATAAGATAATTTCAGGTAGACAATCGATGGTTTTGTGGTTCCAAGGGACTGTAGGGTCGATGTAAATGCAATTGGTTTTCGTAGGAATGGATTTAGGGCACGAGAAGATGGTGATGTCCTTAAATGAAAAGAATAAAAATGTGCACTGGGAGAAGTTTCTAGATTTTTTCTAGTATATTCGGACCAAAATCGGTTTGAAAAATGAAAAGCATGGAAGGTTTTGGATTCTTTGTATATATTCAGACCAAAACCGGTCCGTATATATATTCATACCTAATTTAATTTAGTTTTAGGATTAAAAATCCCTCGAGTGCCTATATTCGGACCGATACCGGTCTGTATAACGTTATACGGACCACCAGTCCGTATATACACCTGAACAGCAGCTTTTTATTTTTTTTGTTATTTCGTGCTTAAGTTGTTCTACTATCGTTTTAAACCGTAACATTTATCTCTAATAACCTGAAACTTATGCATTCGTGGTTTTGCAACGATATTATTCTGTACCATTGTAAGATAATTTTAGGTAGACAATCGATACTTTCATGGTTCTAAGGGATTGTAGGGTTGATGTACATGCAATTAGTTTTCACAAGAATTGAGGGCACGAGAAGATGGTGATGTCCTTAAATGAAAAGAATAAAAATGTGCACTATGGATTTTTTCCCAACATATTCGGACCAAAATCGGTCCGAATATGTTAATGTGATCCCTTGTAGGCTTTAATACATATACGGACCGAAATCAGTCTGTAATTAATTTATGTGCCAAATTTTTACCATAAATTTGAATCTTTCTGATTGTGCGCTAATTTATTTATATTCGGACCGATTTCGATCTGAATATAATTAATGCGCCAAAAATTTTCCCGAAAAAATTGAAATTTTTTGGCGAGGTGCACCAATAAGGATTATACGAACCGCAAACGGTCCGTATAAGCCTTATATATATCACCACTTCTTTTCATTTCCCTCATTTTCTCTTCTTCCTCTCTTTCTTTTCCTTTCTTCCTCTCTTTCTTTTCTCTTCTGCCTCTCATCTCCTTCTTTTTCTTACTTTTTTTTTTCTACTTCCTTTTCTTTGTCGTTTCCTCTCTTCTTTTCTCTCTTCCCTTTTCTTTCTCATTTCCTTCTATTTCCTTTTGTTTCCTCTCATTTTTCTCTCCACTTCTTCATCTTTTCTTTCCCTTTTTTTTTTTTTTTTTCTGTTTT